CTCATATCTCTGAGCAGCTTATCCTTCACCACTTGCGGCAAGTCTTTGGATATGAATTTCGTGATCAGTTCCACGAGATATTCATCGCTCAGCATCTCGTCGGTCATCTGAGTCTCGCTCATCAGATCAATGATAACCGTCTTATTCACGGAAGTGTTCTTCCGGCGCAACATCTTAACGGCCAGTAGTGCACCATAAAAGTGGCCCACAATGTCATACCCTCCGGAGGGCTGTAGGGTTTTCAACAGATTCAAGTAGTAGTCGGTTATGGACTTCATGTCAGTCACGCCCTCCATGTCGGCCGTCCAGTTGAGGCCAATCACCGGGCGATCCATTTTCTCGGCCAACGCCTCCAACGACGCGAATATACCCTCCAATGGGGGCAAGAAGTACACGGGTTTACCAGTTTTGCCCGAATTGAGCCGGGTATAGGTGTCGGACGGTATAATAAACTTGATCTTGCTCAGTTTGTCGCGCGCTTCACGTATATCCCGCGCCAACTGGCGGAACACCTCCACGTTTCCGGCCTCGAAGTCCTTCATATTACGAATGGTTATGTTTTTGATGTCATTCAGCGTGAGTTTGATGTCGTAATCCCTTTCCAATCCCTGTTGAAACTCGACGGCAAACACCGACTCCATGCCGATCTCGCCCAGAGTCAAGTGGTCGGGTGTGGTGTTCGGGTCGATGCCCAACGCCATCCATATCTGGGCCACAATACGCGACTCCCTGGTGCCCGACGCTAACTGACGCTTGGCTCGCACCTGACGGGCGTGGGAGGTAAGTGTATATTAAGTAATTAATTTTAAATGGTTTAAATAAATGATAAATTTAGATAAGTAATTGTCATAAAATACAGTAGTGTAAGAAAAAACTGTAATTAAATTATTTATTAAATTTTTATTATAATGGTAATAATTCCAACATTTAATGAAATCAAATGTTTGCAAATATTTGTTTGTGCCAATAGTAATAAATTATCTTAACCTTGTTTAATTATAACTGATATTAACTATGATTGGAATACTCTATTTAAAGTAAATTACTATATTTTCAGAATCTTTTCAAGGAAAGCCTACTTACAACACACGAGACAATCGGGTGCTTAGTTTGCAGTAATTTATCCAAAATATCCAAACAAGAGTTGATCCGTTGCTTAACGACACCGGAAAACGTGGAGAACTTATCGGAGTCGGCGATAACCCCCACATCATCTATGGGTCCCCACTGTATAGCCTGACCGGACAGGCCGTCCCTCTGTCTCTGCTCGCAAATGCGTTCGCAAACGGAGTTCCCGTAACCGTAGTTACTCTGACCGGAGTTGCCTTTACCGCAACTGACCGACGAGAAGCACACAAAGTAATCCAAATCCATGGCCAGGGATCTCGTTGTTTGATCCAAATTCTGGAAGCACCTAACCTTCGAGTCGATAGTCTCCGCAAACTTGTCGTACGTCTGGTTCTCCAGCAACTGGTCGTTCAACACAAGTGCTAAATGAAATACCCCTCCGACGGGCCCCAGAGTCTGGGCCTCAGACAGTAACTGTCGGGCGCCGGCACTGGTACTACAGTCCGCGGTCGACACGTGGACTTTGGCGTCAAACATGCGCAGCCGTTCCCCGAAACACTGGAGCCGTTTGATCACAAACTTCTGGTAATCACTTTTGGCGCCAACCCTGGAGGTCAACACTATCTTACGGGCCCCCAGGGTTATCATCCAGTGAGCCAGCTCTATACCAAACCCACCCAACCCTCCGGTAATTATATACACCTTATTTGGGTGGAAGTAGGTCTTCGCTATAGTGGTCAGTGCCAGAGCTGGTGCTACACTACCGTTCCCTTTGAGGGTCTGCTGTCGGGGCTGTTCCTCAGGCCGAATGCGAAGCAGTATTTTCCCGATGTGTTTACCGGTCGTCATGTATCGGAACGCCTTCTCCGCCTCATTGGCCGCAAACACCGTCCGATTGATGGGTCGGATGCAGCCGTTGGCGGCGTTCGCGTGCATCCACTTGAAGAAGTCGTCCGTAAAGCCGTTCTCCAGATACATCTTAATGTCCACAGACACGCCGATGAACGCCACGTCCCTCAGGAACGAGAACATACCTGGGTACAATATTTTCATTATTCACAATTTGTTTTATAATTGTTTTTTATGTACAATAATTTTGAGCATGCTTTATTTTAATTCAATGGTAACTAATTGTAAATTAACGTTCAATTATGCGGTACTATATTTTGATAGTCAGTGATAGGGACTCCCTATAACTACCGGTATTTTAAACCTAGATAAATTTTTGAAACTCAAGGTATTTAAACACCAATTCTCCTTTAACAAATAGGAACTCCATGTCATACCTAATTGCTTATTCAATTGCAGGTCATATTTGCCAATCTCTACAAAACGGCCGCAATCGGCGATTATGTCATAACTGGCGTCCAGTTTATCGCCGGTCAATGAGTTGAGCACCAGATTAACGCCCTTTCCTTTTGTCGCCTGTTTTATAGCGTATTTGAATTGAATGTCTCGCGAACTGAATATATGGTCGGCAGGTATTCCGAACTCTTTCTGAAGGAACTGTCGCTTATCATCAGTGCCTACTGTTACGTATATTTCGCACCCGTAGTACTGGCATACGCTGATGGCTGCCTGTCCAACACCACCGGCGCCCGAGTGAATCAAAATACGCTCTCCTATTGATTCATAATTATAATTAGGATTGCCATGAAACTGTGAGATACCATACCTTTGATAAGGTTAGCCCGTTTAATGAGTCCATACCATACGGTGCTATAAGTGCTCAATACAGTGATCGCCTCCTCCATCGTCCAGTTCTCGGGAACGGGCGATGCGAGCCGGTCATTGACGGTGACTCCGGTGGCGAAACACTGGCTCATATTGAATCCGCAAACCCGTTGCCCATTGTCCTGACGCCGACCGGCGAACTCAAACCCTATCAGGCAGTCCATGAATAGCGACTGCGGGCCGGCAGCTATACGGCCTACCAGTGCGAGAAATAATCACATAATTACCGGTATAAGTATTTTAAAGTAAAAACAAAACATTTTGATTGAAATTTTGTACAAAAGTAGCGTTAATTCTGTGCTAAACATTTAGTTACAGAATATTCGGCACAGAATAGTAAACTTCATAATTAAGTCAATGTATGCATACCTGTGGCAAACATGACGTCCCGGAAGTTAAGGCCGGCCGCATAGACATCGCATTTGATGTGATTGATGGGATTGTTGGACAGGTCGTGGGTGGGGCCCACGGGTGGCGACAAGTGTTTGGCGTCAAACCACTGCAAACTCGACAGATCTTTGTTTGCGGTCACATTCAGAAAGTAGTCGCTCGACGGCACCCGATCGTACTCCCGATGCAGAGTCAGGTGCCTATATGTGCCCAGTCGGCCGTCTCGGACCACATTCACCGCCAAATCGTTGGCCAATAACTGGGAAAATGGTTTTTCGCCAAAATTCAGCGGCATTTTCACGGAGTCGTCGCTCGCGAACAGACACCTAATGGCATCGCCTCCCGGTTCCAGACGAAGACAGTTTACCAAACCTACGATACCGCTGATGGACGATCGGTCAGTGCCTGTGTTGCTGGCGATCAGCCAAATCGGTTCTCTGTTGTCGTCGTCTTTGCTGTCGATCATCCGCTGCTTCAACGCCTCAAACCATTGCTCGTAATTGGCGTCGATTTCGATGATCTGCTTCTTCGCGGGCACCACCACTTCGGACACCACTTTGCGGAACAGCAAAGCCATGGCGCCAATCGAGTCGTGTCGGCGCCCAATCAGACTGAAGCCCATTTTGTTGGCCTCCGCCACGTACTCGGCCACCCGTTTCTCCAACTCTGCGCTACTTTTGGCCGACTTTTGGCCCAACAGTTCCCTTAGCATGAGCTCCGGTGGTGTGGTGTGTGTGCGGAACACCGTCATCAAGAACCCCCTTTCCATCAGCACGTCGTGACACTCCTGCAAATGGTTCTCCAGGTCTAACGCCCACAAGTCGACCGAGTCTTTGGTGNTTCGGACACCACTTTGCGGAACAGCAAAGCCATGGCGCCAATCGAGTCGTGTCGGCGCCCAATCAGACTGAAGCCCATTTTGTTGGCCTCCGCCACGTACTCGGCCACCCGTTTCTCCAACTCTGCGCTACTTTTGGCCGACTTTTGGCCCAACAGTTCCCTTAGCATGAGCTCCGGTGGTGTGGTGTGTGTGCGGAACACCGTCATCAAGAACCCCCTTTCCATCAACACGTCGTGACACTCCTGCAAATGGTTCTCCAGGTCTAAGGCCCACAAGTCGACCGAGTCTTTGGTGATAATCAGATCCTTCGGTGATATATCGGACGGAAAGGCCGACTCTTTGGGATTCCATTCAAGAAGTTTAAACGTCTTGTTGCGGAACTGGTCGGGTATGGCGTCCATCGACTTCACGGCTATATTATAGGTCACGTCAATGGGGTAGAGGGCGGCCGACGCCAAGTAGGAGTCCACTTCCGCGGCCATCAGCCCTCCCCCGCCATCCGTATTGATCTCCAGGACTTTGATCTCCTTTTTCGGTACGTTATTCTCGCTGACGATGTCGACCATCGCTCGGATCAAGTGCTCGTTCTTCGACACGTGATTCGTGAGGTCAGCCGATATGTCATACGGAGGTGTCTTTCCAGACAAGTCGTCCCGCAGTTTATTTAAGCTTTTTTGGGCCAACTCTTTATCTAAGTTCTTGTTCTCGTCGGACGACGATTGGATCAACTCGTGGTATATCTTAAGCATAACCTCATCCTCTTTGATATTCTTCACGTATTTCTCAATCAATTCATTCGTGTGATTAGTATTATTAGCCGGGTTTGGCTCCGATTTGATGTCATTTAAGCCTAATATGTGTTTCAGTTTTAAGGCCAGCGTTGAGCATACCTTTCAAATCAATAAATTTAATGTTAATTAAAAATCTGGTGACCGTAATTAAAATAAACAGTTCAACAATTGTATGGAACTGTAGGTTATATTCACCTTAATATAGTCCATCACATACAGCCTGTCCCTCTCATCCATGGCCATCGTGTCCTCGTTGGCCGCGAACTGATAGCTCTCTAGCTTGAGATCCTGAACGTTAGACTTGCGGGTCAGGGGAAGGGTGAACACGTCCTCCACCTCCACCCCATAGGTCACCGCCATCTTGGAGGACATGTTCACGTGGAAGGGAATAATCGACTTGTACAGGTGAAACCGTTGGCTCAGGTACTTATCCATCAGCTCCTGAGACTTCTCCTTCATCTCCTGCTGGAACTCCTCGGACTCCTCGGGCCCGTCCCGCTCGACCACCTCGTCCAGCATCGCCTCCTCGTTAAACTCGGTCTCCAGTTCCGCCACTTTGTTGCGCTCGAGGGCGTCAAACAGCACCCGGGGGTCACATTTCAGCGACTTTATCATCACCGGTACAATGAGCTTCCGGAAGGGCACCATAATGGCCATAGATTGCAGGAGGGAATCAATGAATGTGACCCAATTGCCGTCCCACTCGACCTGCCCGTGCATTGTGTCGAAGTCTCGGGTCTTTATGTTCTTGAGTTTCCGGAATTTGGAGCCGTAGTCATAGCCCATGACCCGCAGGTCCTTATAGATGCTGTCCGTCTCGATGGTAACCCACCCGTCAGACTCCGGCGTTTTGTCGGGTATGTCAAGCATCCAGTGCTGCACACATAGGTTGCTCTCGTCAGGGCTTGTGATTTTGCCCACACATGTCACGTTGTTGTTCTCAAGGATCACGA